TTTAGTTTTTGGTAAAATTTAATTGAAATTCCTGTTTTGATCTTTTTGTTTTAATTTTCTAATGAGTAATGTCAGTAACATTCATATTTTAAATTTATGGAAGTGTAAAATGCTAATAACGCACTTTAGGGCCATTTTGGTTAAAGTCATATAACCATAACTATGTATGAATCGACATACCAACTTTCATTCCTTATTTTACACCCACCAAGTTACATTTATGCAACAAAACGTAACTTATTTGCTTTTCCATAGTCAGAAATATCTGTACACTAAAATTTATCAAAATTGCTTAATAGGTTTTCTTGTGAAAGCGTCACAAACATACAAAATTGCATTTATAATAGCATAGGTATAAATTCGTCTGCACTTCTACTTTAAAAAAAAATTACCTACAATTTTTTATTGGAAAGAATTCCGATTAATAAAAGCAAACAAAATAGAGTTACAGTTTGTTTGAGTTTAATTTAATGGAAAATGAATTTTATTTTGTTAGATTTTTTTGCTGTGTGGTGAAAGTTATAAAGTCAAATAATAGATTTTTATTAAATGAAAACCAAATTGACATTTAGACAAACAAATTAAAGATAATTTGTGTAATTTTGTTTAGTAAACTAATATAGACTTTATAAATTAGTATTTTCCTCTATACAGTGTGTTTTCAACTTTTCATAAACAAAACTTTTGTTTCCAAAACTCATCAACTTATATTACAGTAACATTTATTGCAAAAATTGAGTTAATTAATATATCAATTACTCTCTTGCTTTTTATTTTATCTATAATTTCATATGTTATTTTTATATTATTTTTATATCTTGTTACAGTACGCTAGACTATTTTCATAATGCGTGGTTTTATTATAACTTTGTTATTACATTTTTTTCCCACACTTGCCACACGTGATATTGTGTAATGTGTTGCGGTAATTTCTATCATAACAAATTCATAATGTAATATACTCTTTTATGTACCCACTGAGCTTCTGACAAAATGAGCAAAAAATAACAATAAAGAAAACTGAAATTAAACAAAGCGAACGCATGTGATGTTGAACATGGTGGAGGCGCCGAGCAGGAAAAACTGTTTTGTAATGAAAACGAAACTGAAAACGAACTGTGGTTGCACGCGATTTCCAACACACCACGGAGTAGTAGTAACTGACCCTGAAAGGCGATATAGTCACATGCGTAAACACGCATGCTGGAAATTATTAAGTTTTCTTTTCTTACGTCGAGAAGAGATTGGATAATCTGGTAAAACTAATTTTTATTAAAACATAACATTTAATATAAGACTTTATTATATTAATAAAGTTACCAAAGTAATTTTTATAAAGTAAAGTTTACTCTAGCAATGTAGTTAAACACATGGTATATTATATCAGTATATTATAATATATATAATGTGTATGTATTGTAATTAAATATATGCAACCCAATGTCTTACATCTTTTCAACGCTGTCATTCACGTGTGACAAGTGAATAACGTCAGGTAGGCAACCAACAATACACCTATCCTATTGTGCTTCCAAGTTAAAATCTTAATAAATATTTTAGCTTATTATCAACTTCATTATAAAAATTTAATTAGTAGTGAAAATATTAAAAATTTTATATTTTCATATAAACAATAAACAATGCAAAAATAATACGTATATATGATGAAAAATTAATTATTATACATCTTTCAATTTTAAGCATTTAAAAATTAAAACAGAAAGAAAGCAAAAACATTTCCAACTTCATCAAAACGAAGCATCTGCACCAGCAAACAAAAAAATAACAAAAAAATGAGTAAACAACAAAACACACCTACAGACAAAAAGTAAACCCCACGGGAAAATAATGATTCTAGCGGTTTTTATGCCATATGCCCGTATTATTAATTAGCAGTAATCGCTCAACCTTTATTCTCTTTCTTCCCAGCAGGCAGCTCTACCTGATGAAAATATCTAACCTCAAAAATATAAAAAATATGATATCATTTTTCTGTACACATTTTTATATGTATTTTTATATATTCCACGACAAATAATAAAAAGAAATAAAATAAAACAATTTTTGTTGATTTTTCGCCATCCTGTATATGTAAAAAAATCTTGCGTGTGAATTTGCACAAATTATGTGTGCATTACGCGTAATTTGCATTTGCATTGCACTTTGATTAAAAATTATGCGCGTTTGATTACGAGATTGATTTATAATAGCAAACACACACGACTTTCAAACTACTTAATAAGGTGGAAATAATTGTGCTGTAAAACGTACAGAAAACATAATAAAATGCTTAAAACCTTGACTTAATTACGAGTATGGAATTTTGTACTTTAACCTGCTATTTTAATAATAATAATAATATAATTAAAATTATATTTATAAAATTGTGCAAAACTTAACCAAGTATTAGATTAGCAAGAGTAGACATCTATCGGTGAATTATTGCAACAAGCTACTTTCCCTACTAATATTATAAATGCGAAAGTCCTGATGTTGGTTACACTTTCACGCAAAAACTACTTAACCGATCATCATGAAAATTTGTACACATATTCTTAGTGGTCCCCGATAGGTTATAGGCTACTTTTTATTTAATAAAAAAAATTATTTTTTAAATTAAATAAAGAAATTGTTCAGCCAATGATACCTCTGCATCTGACTATTTGACTACTTTAACGCCATCTAGCATTCCAGCAATAAAGCTCAAACCTAAGTACTATAGTACCATCACACTGTATTATCACACTCTATTACCGACAGCTACGTCAACATCAAATCCAATTGACTACACTATGGAGACTGTACACTATACTTCCATAGACTATACTTTCAGCCATTTTAAACTTCCCGCCATTCTACTTCATTGTTATTTCTTCTGTGACTACAGACGCGTACGGAAGCAACTTCATTATTTTAGATATTCGCGAGCGAAGCCGCGGGTTAAAGCTAGTATCAAATATATGTCAAATATAAAATTGTGACGTATTAGCAACCAAATATGCGTATAAATAAATGAATATTTCTAATTAATAAAACTTTAAAACATTAATTTGTAATTAAAGCACCGCAAGCCCCAAAACATTATAACTTCTATAAATAGAATAAGTGAAGCAATTGCACTACATTTTCCATTTTTGATTTCTTTCCCACCAAAAACGACAGTTTTATATTAGGGGGGTGGTTTTCGTAATAGTAGCATGCATGCTCCTGCACTTTGCTCCGTCGCCGCGGTAATAAATTCACCATTCACGTCGCCGTCAATTCCGAGGGTGCAAAACGAAATAACACTGATTTATGCGATGGAAAATCATTTCACGTTTTTTTTTCTGTAACTTTTGCAATTGCAATAACCATGACGTAATGCATATTTCATGTAATACGAAATAATATTGTATATATCAAGATAAAAATTTTTTCCGCAGACGCAAACTTTTTTTTCGAAATAATTTCGCCTGCATACTTGGCGCGTTTGAAGGTTTGTACTTTCTCCTTTGATGAAAACTCATTCGTGCAGCGCAGGGCGCGAGGACGATTAATTACTGCCCGCCGCGCGTTTTCTTGAAACATTACTAACGAGTGCACCGGCGAGAATGGCGGAGGCGCCGCGACGACGCTCCGCACGTAAATTGAGTTTTGGAATTTATATTCTGCAAATTAATCCTGCGCGCTTTTTACAAGGACTTTCCTGCGCGCCCCCTGCCGCGAGTACATTAAGCACTTTCAAACTTCTTTTGCTGCGCGCTGTAAAAAATAAATACTCGTGCGTTTTTACTGCTCAAGGTCGTATACAATCACCTCAACAATATAAATTGTTGGGTTTGAAGTTTCAAGTGGATTAATTAATTAAAGCCGAAAAAGGTTATTAATTAAGTTGATTTATTTGTTTTCATTTTGTTTTTAGACAACCAATCATTAATTATATTTATTTGCATGTGTATTGTTGGTTGCCTATATTAAAACGACAAGTCATATACAAAGCTATAAAACTGCACTTCATATAAATAAATTTTTAAAGAAAATGAGATTACATGATGTTATTCTATTGATATTTATTTTGAACACACTGTATGTTATTCTCCAGCATGCGTGGCCTAATAGCAAATGCCAAACGCATCGTGCGCTTTAATATTCCACCAAAAAGCAATCCATTCTCGTGCGTCTATCACATTTTCAGCCTCTAACCCAAATGTTATTTATGATTGGCGCAACTTTAATTATTTTTCTTTACATAAAGCATCATCAAACGAAAGTCAAGTTTTGATTGAAGTGAGAGTGCTCTTGCTCTAAGGAAGAAGAGTTTGTCGTGTACGTGATCCGGAAGGATGTGCATGACGAACATGAATATGAGCGAATTGGATTATTAACTTCAATTTTGGCACTCGGTGCTCTTCCACAACCACAAAGAACTCGCGGATTAGGATTCAAGATGTGCGCCACACACACCATCTCTTTACGAATAAGAAAAACGTAAAAATCACGCGAAAAAAAATATAAATTTAAATTTAATTGAAAATTTTAAATATTAGCCTAACTTATGACTGAATAATTTATTATTATTCATGATATTGATTTCTAACCTATTATACAGTGTGTCTGATGATTTATACGCATGTGTGCGCATATGCAAATTGCCATGTTTATTAGATTGCGAGGTAATTAAACATTCTGCCATCCTGACGTCTTGGCACAGCGTCAACGCTCGTATCGTAAATCAATCCCACCGCAAATATCTAGAGGGAAATGTGGTGGGGCGCCGGGCTCCAACACACACACACAGCAGTTTTCTATTTTCAGGCAGGTACCAGATCAGCATTATTATAGCATCGTTCGCGGTGCCAAGATAACGGGAAATATCGTACATTCAAGTTAATTGCATTTCGTCTAATCTTAATTGAGTAATTAATGTGGAAATGAACATTTTTATGCATATTATAATTTATTATCTAGCCGTCTTGATTAAATTACTTCGTGTTATCAAAATAAACTAAATTTCTTATTACTTACTTGTGGAATCTTGAAAAGTCGTAATAAATTCGCAACTTGAATGGACGTCACACTGCTAGCAGCGCCCACAACACCGGAAATTACCTTGCGTACTTGACTTTTATTGCAACTGTATTCAGCGCCATCTATGTTGCTGATGGAACCTGCAACAATGAAACAAAATGAATTGAAACAACAGAAAGAGGTTAAGTTATTGTGAAACTCTTTTGTATTGCGTTTACTTGATAAAACAAGTGAAATTATCCTTGTCAGTTGTGAGTTGTGAACAGAATAATTGTTGTGAAGCGATGCGAAATTGACTCGACACCAGCGCAAGCACTAAAAGCTACGAGACAGTGAAACTGTGAAAATTGCCAGATGCATTATGTACGTCGTACGCGCGAGCTGCGAGTGCTTTCATTGCTTACTACCGGCGTCATTCTTCTGTTTCGTCGGCGAGCGACATCTACAATTCAGCAATTAACATCACAACGCCACACTTTGTGCCAGCGCGAGAAATAAAAGAGTCGAGAAACAATAAGTGCACTAACATGTCACTCAAAAGTGTCAAAGAAAACAAAATAACATAAAAGAAACATCAAACACATTGTATACAAATTGATTATTATGCATTTTGTTGTCCAACAGCATAAATATGCAACAAAAACTTTGATTGCACGTTGTGAACGAGAGGAATTACAAATTTAAATCGAAAACGGCGACTTTTAAAACTACGAGTTGCAGTTAGGCAACTTTAGCGACGTTTAGCCGGCTGCATGCATAACTTTGCTGCTAGAGGTATATCAATGGTGTGCTTGCGGGCTGGTGACAATGAAGACATTTGTTTCCAGTTTTCGAACAAAGCCCACTTCGATTTGCATGCGGCGCGCATTCATAAATTCGTTCGTTCATTAAGGCGCCGCGTGCTGCATGCGCAAGTAGACAACCAACAATACACAAAGGAGCAACGCGCGTTGCCTTTAAAGTGAGATTTTTGAACGTTGTGAATGCTAAAGTCTGCTAATTTATTAAATTAACGTCGCTGCGTTCAACATCCGACAAATTTTTCTCGCACATTTTTAATTTTGCAAAAAACTCTAAAAAAAAATTGATTTTAATTAAATATACATTAATTGTTGACATTTGACAGTTTGTGAGTTAAATTTGGCGCAAACAGTGGCGAAAATAATTGCAAATCGCAATTAACGAACGCAAGGATAATTGCGTGTTTTTGTTCCATCCTCCGCGTTGACTGATTGCGCATGGCGTTCGATTATTTATTGTTAGTTGTTTGTGGCAGCCACAAGCGTGAATAATCGTCGACATCGTATGTTCACGTACTTGTATGCGTGTGCCAATATTTGTACGTTAAAATTAATTGCTTTAGAGGCAATACTTTCGCCTACACCAGCGCCATCTGCATTCAACTAGCTTTATTATTACATTATATTGTGTTTAAAATATATTTACATGTTTATCTTGTTCACAACGTAATTTTCGTCCTTTTTAACCTCAAAAACCTTTTTACATTCTGATAAAATTCTATTGTTGTGTTTAATGTTTGTGTAGTGTTATCTAAACGCATTGTATATTTATATCGAAGGAAAGAATACTTTCGCCGGACGCATGTCGTAAAAATCGTGATCGTAAAATTTAAATCGAGTTAGTCCGATGACGATGCGTCCGAAAAGGATGCTCTGGTCCTTTACGAGCGCGTCCTTAACGGTCGTTTTCATCCACTCGCTCGTCCCGCAAATGGCGCGCGTCCGGTCCGCATGTCACTCGCGAGGGGCATTAAACCCTTCCGTGGAGTAGATTTGACCATTCGGATGTATTTTACGTCAGATTTTTATGCCGCCATAGCTTTAATTGAAAACTACTCACAACTAGATGGCGTCAAACGTCAAATAAAATAAACACACTTAGTACATAGTAAATAGTTTATGATCTCAATGCAATATATAAACTAGTTACCGCTAGATGGCGACACTACTAATCGTAAAATATGCGCGCGATAAAAATTTGGTAAAGTTGAAGTCGTAAAAAAGATGCGACGCGTCGAAATAAAAACAAGCGTGCGCTTTTTACGATTATCTGTGCGGCGGTTGTGTGCGCCGGGAAAATCGTAAAAGTAGCGCCGAGAGAAGGAAAATGAAGTTTTCAGATATCCACTCGAACGCGCTTCATTGTCATTCAGCGAATGAAATGCTCGAAGGTGAACTAAGCCGTCGCCCGGCTTGAGACTTTACTCCTTTGGCAAAGGAAAACAAGGACTCTCGCTGGATGTGCACACGTGCGCGTATGGTTATCCACATCGTCGGCGCAAGCGATCCATCTTCGGTTATTCCGTTTGCATTGTGTATTCGAGACCACTCTCAAAGCCTCGCGTTGTTTTTACTGCTTAGTGAGTACGCAACCCAGCGAACGCGAGAGTAGATGGCGCGCGGATCACACAAATGGAATACATAATTTGACTTGACTTGTGAATTGAGGATAGGTTTGGAAAATAATGCTGACTTATTTAATAATGTGTTAAAATGATGAGTTTTATTTGTGATGTTTGCACCGCGTGTGTCAAAACGTGAAAATATCAAAGCGTCAGCCTTTCGAAGGGGGATAATGAAGGAGCGTCGGACGGCGAGTGGATATTTGCAACGCGCCACTCTTTTATCCCTCATTTTTCATCCCCTTTGTGGCGTGGCATGTCGGGCCACTTACGATCCCGGATTTTCATTTGCGCCAACCCATCCGCATCCGTGATAAAGATCAATCAGTGTTTGCAAAAGCAAAAAATACATTTTTGTACACAAAAAAAAATAAAACCGGAAAACACAAAATTTTTTATTTTTCAATTTAACGTTAATAAATTAAATTAATTAAATAGTTGTGGTGTATATATGTAATATTTTTTGTTTTGTGTATTTGTATGATGCTTTTGAGAGTCCTTTCCGTTGGGTATTTGTGGTATTATCGGCGGGTTTTGCACGCTAAGTGCGGCTTGCCCTTTGATGCCGGATGCTGCCCGGAAAGCGAGTGGTAAATCCCGGCGGCAATCCCGCCGGACTTAACCCTGAAAATGGGCCACGCCACTCGGCTTACAAACGCGATTGTCCTTTTTGGTCCGGGTGGCATATGCCCGGATTTGAGCAACGCCACCGGAAGTTATTAAGACAATATTCAACACACAGCAAATAAGAACGTTATAAAAACAATATCAAAATAGAAACAATGTCTTGAATAAAATACATCCGGAATGGTCGGGGATTTGAATAACGTTGCACAATACCCGAACGCTTGGGTTTTCCGGAAATGCATCGGGTCGTGAAACGTGCCCGGAAAGTTTGAGTAAATACCCGCAGGACATCGACGGCGGAAAGTTGTTATCCTGACAACGACTGTTTTGTTTATACAGGTATCTTTTGTTTCCTGTAAACTTTTATTTTCAAAATGAAACTAAATCTTTGACTTTATGAGTAAGATTTCTATTAAAATCATATAGGCAACACACAATACTTAAAATAGATATATTTAATTGGTCTTGTTATTAATTTGGTTTTATTTATGATATTCTCTTCGAATTTGTGTCATGAGCTGCGTAAAAGTTGCCGGTTAGTGTCAGAGTTTTGCGATTTTTCGGATTTTCTCCGACTTTGGTGCACATCGTGTCGGTTGAGATTTATGAACCACCACCGACCCCACAAATAGTCGAAACATCGAAACTTCCCAGCGGCGCGCGCGCGTTTTCCACGCTTTCCGAAAAGCCGGAAAACTCGCCGAAAGTTTGCCGCTCGATATATCGCCGGTCGGTGCGGACGCAGTACAGAAGTGCGCCGGAATAAAGGCGTAAGCCGCCGGCGATTGTCAAACTTGCCTGAATTCCGGTGATTTTCGCTGCTTACAAGGCTTTTCCGACTTTTCAGTAAATTTTATAACAATACTCGTGCCCACTGCGCGCATTCAACGTATTATTTAAAACAATAAACGGGTTATTAATTAAATAGTTCTCAACGAAATTACCAAAGTTGGTAAACCGGAAAACCGGAAATTATATTGTGATAATATGTGTGCAGTTTCTGCTGCTTTTAAATGAAATCATAAAAGTAACGCGGATTTGAGCAAAATTGAAAAAAAAAGCTGAATTGAAGCTGGAAAAGTCGGAAAATCTTTCGCACGCGTATATTATACGAAGAATAAGTGCTAAGCAAGCGATCGAATGCAGAAAACTGCCAGCGCAGCAGCAGGTAACTCTTGAGAAAACGGCGCACCGCGATGCGCAATTTTCCAGCCACTCGACTTTTCCGCTACGCACCGGAAAGCGATAAGTGGCTTAATAAAAATGTCCGTTATTCAATCCCCCCGGACAAAAGATGAACCAACCGGATACATAATACCATCTAATTGGGTCAATATTGAAACCGGAAGCAAACACAAAACCGGGACTTAACAAGTTACTTGTGAAAATTGCCAAGCATTTATATTTTTTTTCTTCTCGTCAAGTGCATGGAAATTTAATTAAAACTTTTGATTAAAAACTACATCACCTACTTATTTCCGGTGGACCGGAAATTTGTTCAAAATATTGATTTTGATAATATTTTAATAGTTACTAATTTAAAGCAAAGATTTGCAGAAGGAATTTATTTTCAACGTGAAACCGGAAAACCGGAAAAGCTAAAAAATCTGCCGGGAAAGAAAGAAGACAAATGAAGGCACATGTAAGTAGTCCTTCTGTTATCTTTAGCAACGTCATGAGTTTACACACAGGCTACAGAGCCTGATTAATCGGCAGGTATTAATTTTCACCTGTGCTAAAATATACAGTGTGTCCAAAAATGTATTTACTTCAAAATTGAAAATAAAATCCTTTTTTTTTGCAATGCGCAAATCGGTTATTTTTATTTTGAAAAATTTTCTATGAACACACTGTATATTTAAAGTTATCTATTACTGGCGTTGAAATTTGAAGTTAGACACTTGTTCGTAACACATTGTTGGTGTTTGATGGGTGGCTGGTTGGTGCGCGTCAATGATGGACGATCGTCCTTTCGTCCTGTCGTCCTTGGCGTCGACAGTGATGCATCGCGTCAAAAGATGAATGGCGCTCGACGCGTTCGATACGCGCCGCGTGCTCCGCGCACTCTGGTGACTAGCGCCGCCGACTAAT